ATTTTTGCCACTGCTAATCACATGAATAAAAATCATAAAAATGAAAATATAACAGCAATATTTCTTGTTTATAATGGATTAGATCCATCGCACACCACGGACTTTATCGGCCGCCAATTTAGATGTGCTCGCTAGTCTTTCCATTGCACCACAACTTATTGGTCAGAGCGATTAAGCTGGTGTAATGTGCGCACCTCCATACATCTTCATGTACATATTTCAAGCGAACCCTATCATTTAAATAGGCGGCCGATAAAGTCTGTGGTGTGCGGTGGCTCTTATAGCTGTGTCCTTACATCTATTCCGTGTGTTGCAATACCTATCCACGAAAGCAGCAGTTAATTTTTTATGAAGAAAATTATTACAAAATATTCAAAAATTTCTCTAGTTATATGTTTGGCTTTTCTTTGTTTTATTTCTCCAACGTCAAAAGCTGGATTTTTTTTTTTTGAAAAAGTTGGTACAACAAAAAATACGAAACACGTTTTCTGTCAGATAGCTAACATGGCGGATAAGAAGAAGAAGTGAAACTACCTTCTAAAAATTATTGTATCATGCATCTAAGTATGCAATTTTGTATCCGATTATATTTTAGTATAATAAAGTGCAAATTCCAAGGGTCCAAGAATTCGCGTTGATTTTTTTTTTTGCCGACGCTGTTATTACAGTGAAAGCTCCCATAGACGGAATCTAATAATCGTACACCTCCTATATGCGGACGCATTCTTGGGAACGAACAATTTGTGTTTTTTTTTCGTACAATGGACTTTCCGATACACGGACGCGGACCTATAATCATGTCTAGTTATCAAAATCTCCCATCATTTAATGTTTTCTTTTCTAGAAAATATGTTGCCTTTTCATTGCCCTCTTCTTGCTATTTGACTGAAGCGGACAACGAGATTAGTCGGTAGAAAGGAAAACGCCATAAATTTTAATTTATTTTCTACTTATTCTTTTTTTTGCTATTGAAAAATAAATATTGTCTTAAAGTAGAAATGTGCAATTTAAATTTTTTAAATATGAATTATGTATAATATTATTTTTTAGGACAATCCCATTATCGGACATCTCTCAAAGGCGGACAAAAAGTAGGTAAGTGACCATTGGTTTACGCTTATTGGAGCTTTCAATGTCATACAAAAAAATTTCGAACTTGGTAACTTTGTATGGAAGAAAATGCGTGACACCGTCAGAAAAAAAAATCCGAAAAATTCGATGGTATAAACTTCAAACTAGAAAATGGTTGTTGTGCAATTTTCTTGAATTTTTTAAATTTTTTGATTTACATGTCTTTTGTCAGATGTATTATTTTGTCGCGGGGTGTACAATTGAAAAACTGTGGGTATTCATGTAAATGCGTAAATGCCTCGCAACCGCACAAAACTAAGTAAGTTTACGAGGGTTACGTGGTTACGAGGCATTTACGCGGTTAGATGAATTGCCCTACTGTTTCAAAAAATACTCTACTATAAAAAAGCTTTTTCTTAAATGGAGATACCGCGAAACAGAACTTTTTCGCAGCAATATACAGTTTTTGTCCGAAAAAATATACGCGCAATACGTATGCCTATATATATGTGCGTATATATCTACGGTGACCAGACTTCTGTGGACAAGCATCGAAACCGAACATACAATTTTGTTTTTAGAATAAAAACACATAACAAAAGAAAGAAAAAAAACTAGAAAAATGATCGCAAAAGTATATATTTCATATCCATGAATTTTTTGAGGGAACCAATATTTTTGATTGAAAAAACAACTTTAGTACGTTTCTTCCAAATGGCACAGTTGTTGGCCTTGGTACACCATATCAAATGGCCGAAAATTTTTAAAACCGGACATTAACTACGCCCACATCCCATATAACGGTAATTTAGAGAAATATAAAATCCTCGATAAATCAGTAAGTATCAAAGCCAATTTATTCAAAATTGATGCTTGCAACAATTCTTTACCAAAAAAAAAAAACGTTTATGACAAAATTTTGGAAAATGGACGTGGCACCGCCCACTTATGATCACATATATGTATCTCGGTAACCGTTCTACCAATTTGTACCAAACTCGGTATGGTTATTGTGCTTGCCACATAAAAGCAAGACGTTGAAAATTATTGACATCTGACTAAAATTACGGCCGCTTTTCATATAACGGTAAATTTTAGAAATGCTTGGAACTTCAATAGTTCGAAATTTAAGGACGCTAATGTACTTAAAATTGATATACCCCGGCTTACCATCTAGCGGTAGCTTTCGGAAAGGTGAAAAACATATACATATTTAATACTTGCGCCGGGTATTTAATGTTCGGCTCTGCACGAACTTAGACTTTCTTACTTGTTTAATGTTGCAGAACCACTTAAAGCAAGTAGTCGCAACAAAAAGGTGCTGAAAACTAATTGATTCTATAATTGTGGCGAGAGGTTCAGCTTTTTGCCTTCGTAACATTCTGGAGCAGGCCTTCCCAAAGCTGCCGCTAGCAGCTAGAGTATACTAGTGGTGCAGAGAAATTTTTTAAACTTTCACTAAAATTTTGGAACTAAGCGGTAGTAATTTTTAATTTATGGCAACAGTTTTACTACTGCTAGATCAGCTGCTTTGTGGTTGTAGAAAGAATGTGAAACAAATTCGCGTTTGTGTAGGAGAGTGCGTCGACAAACTTCACAGTGCAAAAAGGGCATGTTTTTGCCTTTGTTGTCCTTATCTAGCTCACGCATTTCATATATTGTCACCTTAAGCAGCCATCTGATTTTCAGGGCAACCATCTCCCCTGATAAAGCTTCAAAGAGCACAGAATTCGTCTTTATCTCCTTACAAGAGTGTGGCATTTTAAGAAACGAACACATAATTTTCTCACCGTTGGCTTTATTTTGGAATCAAACGCGAAAAGAGAAAGGGCCAATCAATGTCAATGTTATCTATAAGTACGGCGACCATCCGTCCTTTATTTTAACCCCTGCCCTTTATTTCTTAAACTCTACTTTAAATCAGACTTGGATTTTTCAAAGGTAATTTTTTAAAGAGAATAGAAAAAATAAAAATGTCCCCTATAAAATATTATAAAAACCTACGCTAGTTTATTTCACACCCCACTAAAGGGTTTTTATTTAATTGGCAATCTTTGTACAATCTATAAATCAGGAATCCTTGCTAATACTGACAAGGGAAATTTATATAATCGAAAAAAACTATATATTATTTGCACCTTTTCCTAGAAAATTTAATATTCTTTGAGTCAAATTCATTGTTGAACAATAAATCCCCACTGGCTTCGCCGTGTAGTATGTAGGAAGGCGAGGTTCTTGATAAGGATTTGGTTTAATTTTTCGGAATCGGTTAATATCCGGTTACAGCGCCTGTCAAGAAATAAATAATAAACAATAATAAATAATATAATTAACTTGGAAATATTTGATTTAAATTACTATATGCGTAAAAGTACCGTTCTGAGTTGTATGTAAGTGGTCCCAAATCCTTTTGAAAAAATGTCCTCTATTGTACGTTGATTAATATGGTCACCGTAGCTGTAAGCAGCATCGGTCCTCAAAGGGTTAATAAAAAACTGAAAATCAGAATTTTATCGGTACAAATATGACAAATCGGGAAGCTTATACATTCCGACTATTAAAAAATATTCAGCGGGACAATTTTCTCAAAATCGTTACTGTCCCGCCAAAATCGGTACGAATGGTCACCGTACATACATATACTATATATGTATATAGTACGTATATTTTCAATAAATTTTGCGGTTAACATCGCTTTATCGAAAACTTTTAGATTGCTTAAATACAAGAAATATTCATTTTGACCACTCAGTATTAACAGTTCACTCAATTACATAGGTAATTGCTAAATAGTTTCTGTCTGTTTCATACATTTGTGCTCGTGGGAAAATAGAGTACGGCAGTACCGCCAAGTATGTAATTTGCGTCATCAAGATAATACAAGTGAAATAAACATATAAAATTTACATTAGTTAAATGGAGGAGAATTTTCAGTGAAATGACCGCAAAAAGTAGAAATAGTTTATCTATCAAACTAAACTCATTCAGAAAAGTAAACAAAGCGTTGCTTTTTGTGACATTTACTTATAACGTTCAAAGGTGCATACTCATCTCAGGGATGATAAATGAGAATTTAATTTTTGTACCAAATTGGCCATAAAAAATGTACTAAATCAGCCGAAAAAGCAGAAGAAGAACAAGTAAAAGTTTTATGTTAGGCAAAATTCTCTAAATAAAATGTTTTTTTCAGAAATCTGAAACAAAAAAAAAACAGTGGCATTTAATGCAATCAAAGTTTCACAAAAATATTTTGTAAAATAATCAGTTTCATTGGAAAAAACAAGTTAAATACCTATATTCGATATATAAGTTAACAATAAGTCGTTTACAATTAGGTGAGTTCAATATCAAACAATTGTTCCGCATTGTTAGCAGTACTTGCAAGCTTTTACTAGAAATGCGTTCATAACCAAAAAAAAATTGCAAGAGAGTGAATTCGGCAGCGTAAAAGCTCAGCTCAATGATTACTCAACACGTCAACTTAAGCCAGAAGCGAGAAAATTTTTTTTTGTGTTTTCTTTTTCAGCTGTTTACAGTATGTCGCCTAAAATGCCACATTAAAAAAATTCATGCAAAAAATATGTTTGCGTTCGTTTATTTTTGAGAAATTCAAAACGAAAATCTGGTAAGACTGATTCTCTCACCGCTCACAATTTCCGTAAGGTTATTCATCCCTATTCTGGTTGTCGTAAGTCGTTCGAATCGACAGTCGTTCGTTGAATTATGTTGTAAATAAAAACATTAACGACAGATTCTAACACATTTTCCATACTTCTTCATTTCGAAAGGATAATAGGAATACAATTTTTTTGTAAATTATGTCATTGGTTGGCTCAGGACGCCAATGAAAAACTCAAATTTCGATCAACGACTATCGTTCCGACAATCGGAATAGGGGCGATTTACTTTTATGAGGTAGAAAAAAAATTGTGAATTTCTGTGAATTTAAGGTTTCTGAGGCGTTGTTTACTTTACTTGAGAATTGTTAATAATTGTCAAAAAAGTACAATTTTACCATCCATTTCATCACTGACTTATCTTGTGAAATACAAAATTGTTTATAAACTGCTTAATCAAAGCTAGATGAATTCATTTTTAAAAGCCATTACTATAATGATTTAAGAGTGTTTTCAAATAAATAATATAGGTCTTTGTTTTTAATACGTTTAAAAAATGCAATTGTAGGCGTTTGTTGAAAATGAGCTCTTGGAAGAATGATAAGGAAATCGAAATATTTCGTGAATATCTGCGCATCCCAAGTGTACATCCAGACATCGACTATGGTAAGCTTCACTAAAAATTAACCATACAAGCGAATGCTTTTTAAGATCCTCTCATATTTTTAATCCCTAGTAGGACTATGTGTATTTCGGTATCTGGTGGCGTATTTGAAACTTGAAAGGTTGGCTTCGCTCTCGATTATAGGGTGAATTAAAACTTGTTTATTCGGGGCTCTGGGTGGCTTTTAGGATGGAATCCACTCAATATTTTTCTTTAAGCAGCAGCACCCTCGACAGAGTCTTGCTATACCTTCGTAATCGTCTTAAGTAAAATTACTGCCCAATATGTTGATCGCCTACAAGTTCGTAAGGGCGTTTTTAATGCACCTCAACTCTTGGCAGGAGGCTTTAGATTAGGGCTGCCAGACGTCCTGCTTTTTCAGGATTTGTCCCGAATAAATCAAATTGTCCTGGTGTCCAGATCCTCACTTAAATTGTTCTAGTTTTTTAATGAATGTCAATGCAGACACTCATCATTGCATTGAAAAAAAGCATTAGTAGCCGTAAATCGATAATGAAAATTTTTTTCTAATAAGTTTGGACAATATCTGGTTAGTTTACCTTCTTTCTCTTTAGTTTATTTGTTTAAAATCTAGTTTTTTATCTTCAGGCAAATGCCAAAAAAGTGCAAGTTCCTGAACAGGCACACGGCTGAGTGGTCCCACATACTACGCAGTAGATAATTTCTGGAGTTAAAATCTCTTTCTGAAAGTCATTCCTTTCTCCTTTCTTTTTTGTACGGAGTGGCACAAACTGAAGGGCTTCTGCTCTCGCTACTCAAAGAAGAGCTTCCAGAACGACTTTTGTAGGACGTACTTCTGAAGGCCTTTTGAAGAAGTTCTTTTAAAGCTGTTTTTAGTTCATAAAAGTCAGAATTCTTTAAGGAATTTAAATATTTAAGGTTCAGATTAATGGCCTTATTCATAAAAAATAAAGTAGGTTTAAAGAGTTTTATAAATTGACGTTTTCATACATTTTTCAATTTATAAACCTTTTATAAAGCTACTTTATTTTTTATGAATAAGGCCTTAAATGTTTTATTGAGATTTAAAATACTTATTGAATCCTATTTGTAATGCTAAATAATATAAACATATGCTTAAGTACATTCGCGTAAATTGTAAATAGGAAACCCATTTCTAGGAAGCATGCAGAGAAGCACTTTTTATCCTTATTGGGTAGGTCTTTCAGAATGGCTTCACTTCAGACAGCCCACCTAAATTATCTCTAGGTTGTGGCAAAAATGGTCATGAAGCGCATTGTAGGATATGTGGAAATTTGCTAATGGTGGTAAGGCAAGCATTCAAGACCACGTTAAAAGCGCCAAACATTTTTCCAAGTTACGTCACCGTCAACATATTCTCTGTCTGTTCTTTTATGATTAAAAAAATTCAGGGTTTGAGCGTTTCATCATCATCAATCATTTAGCTCATCATCAATCATGAGCTCTTAGCCTCATTTAGAACGACATCAAGGCGTGTGGACTGTTGTAAAACCCTTCTGAACAGCATAGGAGCCCATAATATAGTTACGGTGTGGTTGGCAACGAAAGGGCTGACTATCTGGCAAAACCTGGAGCCCAAATGCGCATGTATGGACCCGAGCCTTTCTGCGGTACATCTAGAGGATACGCTGCAGAACTGCTCAGGAGTTGGGAGGAATCTCTGATTGCTCCCGACTGGCGTATGTCAAAGGGAATGAGAAAATCACAGAAATTGATAACTCCTAGAACTCTAACAAGCTATCTGACAGGACACTACAAGTTAAGGTACCATCTGAACAAAATGGGGCTTTATGTAGAAATGGACTGCAGGATCTGTGGGCTGGCGGAGGAAACCTCAGAGCACATTCTGTGTGACTGCCCGCGTATCATGAATCGCAGACTGATACACCTTGGGGAACGATTATCTTCTCCATCCAAGAATTGGAACACGGCACCCTCAAATGTGCTTAATTTCCTACATAGTCTAAGGTCGGAGTGAATACAATTAGGGTTTAGCACAATAGATCTTTTAGGTCGCAGCGCAATTAAACCCGACGTAATAATAATAATAATAAGGGTTCCATCATCTTAAAAGTTTAAAAACCCGGTTCTTAGCTTTAGGGCCGAGGTCGGCGACATGGTACTATCATTTCATACCTGACACCCTAAAATACATATTTGCTACTAATTCAAAGGATTCTCAGATCGACAAAAACCAATTCCTAAATTCTTTATATATAAATGAACATACATACATAAGTGCATACACGCACATCTATATTTGTAGCACCCGTCGTAGAATTTCTGAGAAAACAAGCTGCCGACCTAGAGTTACCCATTGAGGTTTATCAGCCCGGTAGTCCCAGCAAACCAGCTGTTGTTATAACATGGGTGGGTGAGCAACCGGAACAACCAACAATTATGCTGAATTCTCATATGGATGTAGTACCAGTTTATTCGGAAAAGTGGACCCATCCACCATTTGCTGCTGATATCGACAACGACGGACGGATTTTCGCGCGAGGTACACAGGACATGAAATGTGTGGGCATGCAGTATTTGGCAGCTATACGAAGGCTACGAAAAGACGGTGTCACCTTAAAACGTACCATACATG